GGCAGTAGAACTTTGCTGTCGTAACTCAGGGCTAAACCAGCTCTCCAGCACTCTAGTTGGCAGAGATATTGGTCATCTTGCTTTTCCAAAGGACATCACACTAGTGACCAATAAAACTAAATACAACTTGTTGCATCTTGTATCCTAAAACACAGTCCGCTGAATTTTTTCTGGATTCTGGAGGCGATATAAAGCATATTTTGGTCAAATACGTTGTGTGTTTCTCTGACCCGTGTATTGATTAACTCATGAGTCAGACCATTTGAGAGGGGCAGTGAGCAAGAGAAGGCTACTCAGCAGTTTCAGGCTGCTGTGAAAGCTGCTTTGAGGCTTGGTCCATAAGACTTCGATTCTGTGGGTTTAAAGGGCCCATTGTAAATACAGATGCTTTATGGAGCCTAAGGCAGGTCCTAATAGGGAAATCACAGCTTAACCACTAAACTTTGGAAGCAAAGCAGGGCCCTCTTATGTACATATCTACTCTCTTTTGGGAAAGTATCTTCTGGATTTTCCCTGAGCGCTGGTCAGTACTCCATGATACCAAGTTACTCTGTCAACCAACCTGAAATGCTCATGATAAACAGTAAACTAGTCGACCCACCAAGCCATAAATTTGAGTATGCAAAGTAGTGCTCGATCATCAAGCACACATGATATACACACAATCAAGCTCAAGCTGGTCCTGAAGGTGCAAGAAGGCCTGAGTCAGTGGATCAGATCAATCTTACTCAAGGTAGTTAGTGGACCAGCTGCTGGCCTTCTGTGTGGCTGCTGCTCTGTGAACTGTTTGTTAAAGGTCCTCAGTGACATAAGGAGCATGCACCAAAATGCAAATCAACTACAGCAATGAGGATACTATGTGGTCAAGCTAACATTTTTTGTAGCAAGTCTTTCTTGATAAATGAAGGAGAGCTTTGGATTTATTCTGGCACAAGTTCTTTATCTTGCAGTCAAGCGATATTTTGAGTAGCACTTATTCAGAACCTGGTTTCCTCTACATCTACTGTATTGGTGCCACTCTTTCTCAGTATTAACCTATTGCTTCACGGGTGTGTTTTAAAGCCCATTTAATTGCAGAAGAAGAAAAATGCAAACAAAGATCGATGTTCCTGAAATACCTGAGTGAAGAATTTCAAGCAGTGCGTGTGTCTGATCATTCACTGATTCATGGCCAATAACTAGTGACTTAGCTGGATGGACAGGCACTTAGAAGAATAGAGATTAATTTTTTTTTTTCATAAAAATCTTTAGGGAAAGAGTTATAGGAATGGACATGAAAGTATGAGGATTTTTTTTAATGTAAATGATCATAAATGCCGTCAACTATTAAACTCTTAATAATCAAAGTGACTCACCCTGTGGATGCCAGTTAAGCTCTTTACCTGTCTTGCCAGTCCTTGCTCAACGGGTTCACAAATGATAGGTTTATGGTTACAAAAATGGTGTTTATGAATGGCTTAGCAGATAGACTTTCTCTCACCGAGGTTGATCTGCGAACTACGATAGCTGAGTACCCAACCTGTCGACAACAGAGACTAATACTGGACCCCCTTTGCACAGCTTCTTTGATCTCAGTTAAGATTTCTTCTGTTTTGTTTTAAACTATGATTAGGTTTCCTTTTCTAAGTTCTATTTTCCAGGAGTTTCAATTATACAGACATTGAGTTCTCTTTCAATTTTTTTTAATAATTTCATTCTGCTGTAGGTGACAGTTTACAGATCAAATTAATTTATTGTTCAACAACTTATAGACAGTTTTGTGACATCGGTTGCAATCCCTACAATGTGACAGCACTTTCTCCCTTTCCACCCCAGGTCCCAGTGTCCATTCATCCAGTTTCTGTCCCTTCCTGACGGCTTATCTTGCTTTGGGGCAGGAGTTGCCTATTTGGCCTCGTATATTTGATTGAACTAAGAAGAATGTTCCTCCGGTGTGTTATTGTTTACTTTATAAAAATATGGAACACATCACGAATTTGTGTGTTATCCTTGTACAGGGACCATGCTGATCTCCTCTGTATCATTCCAGTTTCAGTGTATGTGCTGCCAAAGCCAGCACTTCTTTTTCCATTTTGCTACTTACGTGTCATTGCATTTTAGTCCCTTTCACTCTCTTTGTTCTTTTACATTTCCTTGCCTTCAAATATATCAAGTATGTACTCCATGTTGCCAGACCATGATTTTCTCAGCAAGGTAGTCTTAAGCACCTGAGGGCCACACCCCCTTCA